TATTTTATTTAATTTTATCTTGTTATCTTTGATTTCTGAATGATCAGATGCTTTCAGTGATAATGCATGCCTTGTATGAAGATTGTGATGACTGGTAAATCATTGAAGTACATCAGACATTGACTCTACAACTTACTGTTTCTGTGGACATTTCTATTTGTCAGTCTGGGAAAAGGTGCATTGTTGTTTTTGATAACTGTGATTTTGTTCTCATTAATTTTAGAATGTAAATTAACTATCACTAGTGATCTGGTGTTTTAAATTTTCAATAGCTTCAAATAAAAGTACATGTATGTTTAAATATGCTGTTTATGTAATAAATACAGTACATCATATAAGAGGTCTGTGCATGATACCTTATAGTACTGGTATATTACAAACAAAAATTTTTCTCCTCCTTGTGTGATACAGATGTAATTTGATTTTGATGTACCGTCAAGGATTAAATCATTATTATATCATTTTGTTGTCAGTAGCTGGTAGAGGTTCAGCTCTGATTTCAGAATTGGTTATTTTTTTAATTTCCAGACAAAATATTTTATGCCCCATTTTGAAAATTGTGAAATCTTAAACTTCAGTGAAAAAAAGACTGTCTTCAGTAAAAGTACAGGCAATAATTTAATAGATACATTTAATAAAGTCAGAAGTTATTTACACATTTAAATATGCATTATTTATTTAAAATAAATATTAGGACATTATTTTAGTATTTTTTCTGTGTATGATTGTATATTTTGGGTCAACAATAAAAACATGATACAGCATATTAGTTTCTTCATTTTGATCGGTCACCCGCGTGGTGCAGTGGTTAGAGCATCTGCTCTAGAGTCACGAAGTAAGGAGTTGATCCTTACGTCGAATCCCACTGTGGGATGTGGAGACCGGTCCTTCAGATGAGACCGTAGAAACTGAGGTCCTGTGTCGCAGTGGGTGCTGGCACGAAAAAGATCCCTCACTGCTCAATGGCCATAAGTGCCGAGTATAGGACAAAATTTGCAGCTTTCCACTGGCAAGTGGTGGCGTCTCCATATGAGTGAAAAATTCTCGAGAGGGACGTTAAACAAAATACAATCAATCAATCAATCAATCATTTTGATTGTCAGAAAAAAATATGACAAACAAGAAGATACAAATTATAAGGAACAAGAAGTCTGTGAACAAATGCTCACTAGTAATACCTCTATCCGCACTGATGTGAATATACACTCTGATGTTGACATCAGATTCTAACAAAAATGAATTCCATCATATGGCATGCCTGAACAAAGAGTGTGCTGAAATTTCAATCATCTGGGATAAGTAGTTGTTGAGAAAACTGCGACGAAAATTGTTACGGACGGATGCACGGATAAACAGGAAGTTGACATTGGATTTGAACAAAAATGAATCCCACCATATGGCATGCCTAAACAAAGATTGTGCTAAAATTTCAAGCATCTGTGACGAGTAGTTGTTGAGAAAACTGTGACAAAAATTTGTTACAGACAGATGCACGGATAAACAGGAAGTTGACATCGGATTCGAACAAAAATGAATCCAACCATATGGCATGCATAAACAAAGAGTCTGTTAAAATTTCAATGATCTATGATGAGTAGTTGCTGAGAAAACTGTGATGAACATTTGTTACGGACAGACACATGGACACACATACAGACAGACAAGGGTAAAACAGTATACCCCCCTCTCCTTCCGAGCGGAGGTATAAATATACATGGAGGATTAATATAATTTCACATGTAATGATTCTAGTGGTTCAGAATTGAGGAAAAATAATAGATTTAATTAATGTAATTAATAATGAAATGCAGTAATATCTCTTGAAAAATTGGGATTAAACTCTTTAATTGCAGTTTGTATATTTCACTTCATTTTATTTCAAGATTTTAAAATGTATGTAAGAATGGAGAATCATTGGAAGCCCATATGTGGTACATAGATTGCTTATGACTGGATGGTGTCTTGACCTTGACCCAAGGTCATTCCATCAAATTTAAGGTCACTGGAAAAAGCATAAATTTTTTGTTTGGGCTATAATTTTGTAACCCAAGGTCATTCTGGCTAGTTCAAGTTCACTGGCAGAAAAAAGAATAAAATTCTTGTAAAGACCATAACTTTGTAATGGAGAATTATTAGAAGCTCTTACTTGGTACAGAGATTGTTCAAGAGCAGAGGGTGTGTGATGACTAGCTAGGGCTGCACAATAATATCGATATTACAGTATATTGCGATTCATTAATTAACAAAAAAATATTGTATTGCGATATGTTTTTGCAGTACCGATATACCGGCCAACTGTTGGGCTATAGATTTTCAAGTAATTAAAAATATAAAATTTAATATGCCAGAAACGTTTTCAATCGTGCCAAACAGTACCAAACGGTAAAGTTCCTGTTGTATGGTTGCATTTCGTTCCGAAACTGAAGTGAAACCTAAAAAAAAATTGGAACAATGTACTTATAATAGTTTTACACATGTTGCTTATAGATGGAGGTAAATAAAATAAGAAAAAGCGCATTTTAACCGTCATTGAAAATATTGCAATACAGTTAAAAATATCGCAATATGAAATTTCCAGCCAATACCCATCCCTATCATGACCTTAACCGAAGGTCATTCCAGCAAGTTCAAGGTCAAACGTAGAAAAAGTATAAAATTCTTGTCAGGGCTTTAACTTTGTAAAGGAGAATCACTGGAATCTCATACATGGTACAAAGATTGTTTATGACCAGAGGTTGTGGTATGACCTTGACACAAGGTCATTCTAGCAAGTTCAAGGTCACTAGCAGAAAAATATAGAATTCTTGTCTGGGCTGTAACTTTGTAATAGAGAACCAGTTGGAGTTTGTACTGGGTACAAAAATTGTTTATGATCTGAGGGTGTGTCATCACCTTGACACACAGTCTTTCTGGCAAGTTCAAGGTCACTGGAAGAAAAAGAATAAAATTTTGTCCAGACTATAACTTTGTAATGGAGAATCAATGGAAGCTCATACTAGGTTCAAATACTGTGTATGAGGGTTTGTCATTACCTTGACCAAAGCTCATTGTGGCAAATTCAAGGTCACCATTATCAAAAGTATAGAATTTATGACAGGTCTCTAATTTTTATGCCCCACTATGAATATGGTCAGGGCATATAGAGTTTGTCATGTCTTCGATCCTTCCGAGTAAAAGTTTTTGGAGCAAGTTCATTCTCAAGTAACTATAAGCCCTACATGCACCAAACTTGCATGGATGATGCTTGTAGGGATAAAAACTTCCAGACTTGCTTCGGATGCAGATCTGACCTAGATTTTCCAGATGAGTGACCAGGTTTAAGTTTTTGGAGCAGGTCCATTCATAGGTAGCTATAATCCTATAATGGTGACTAAACTTATATGCATGCTGTATCCATGGATGCAAACTATGACTTTTTTCAGATGCTGGAAAAGATCTACATTTTTCAGATGATTGACCAAGTTAAAGATTGCAACTGGGAATGCACACTACCAGACTTGCTTCGGATGCTGGATATGACCTAAATTTGCAAGATGAATGACCAAATTTAAGTTTTTGGAGCAGGTCCATTCCCAGGTAGCTATAAGCCCCATGTTGACTAAACATATATGGATGCTGAGTCTATGGATGCACATTACCAGGCATGCTTTGGATGCTGGATCTGACCATTTTCCTGTTGTCACAGAGACCAAGTTAAAGTTTTTGGAGCAGGTCCATTCAAGAGAAGCTTTAATCCCTATGTTGCCTAAACACTTACATTGATGATGCATCTATGAGATGATTGACCAGTTTTTAATTTTTTTTAAAGGGATGCACAATACCAGTCTTGCTTCAGATGCTGGATGCAATGACGATTGAATAAGTTAAAGTTTTGAAGCAGGTCCATTCCTACATGTAAGTTACTACAGGCTCTATGGTGCCTGAATTTGCACAAATGCTGTATTACGGATGCTCATTACCAGGCTGCATCTGACCTTCATTTCCAGATGAGTGACAGAGTTTGTTTTTGGAGCAGGTTCATTCCAAAGTAACTACCAATTAGCCTACCTTGACCAATCTTGAATGAATGATGCATCTTGGGACACCAGACTTGCTTCAGATGCAAGGCCTTTGTTTTTATACTTAATTTGACTACAGACTACTTTGTCAACTTATCAACATATAGGGCTCATAGCAGGTGTGGCTGGTCAACAGGGGATGCTTACTCCTCCTAAGCACCTGATCCCCCTATGAAATTTCTGGGGATCTGTGATTTATGCCCTGTTCACAGATTTGTATTGTTTTAGATTTTTTGAGATCGATCACTGTTTGTTATCTTCACTTTTTTCATGCAGTACCTTCTTGGGTGTTATTCTGACCTACATTTTTCAGGTGATTAAAAATTTTTGGAGCTGGTTCTTGCCTAAAAACAATAAATCCTACACTGTCCAAACTTGCATAGATATTCATCTTGATATGCATACTAGCAGAACATTATTTGACGTGACACTTTGCCTTCACTTCTAGATAACATTCAATGAGTAGAGCTTTGAAATCTTTGATGACCATGTTTTTTGAAATAGTCAAACATGAAGGCTTTCTATCAGGTCAACAGCATACTTACAGGTCAAATGAAAGTTAATGGCTACTGGTGGTGGGGGTGGTGGGGAAGGGGGGGCATAATCATGAATATATAAAATGTTGAACACAGAGTCACTTGTTACTGTAGCCAATTTAATTATTGCTACAATAAATCAGAGGACCTTGATTGTTTTAAGTATGTCACTATTTAGTGCTGTTTAAGGTTCAAAATGCATGTCTAATGATCTAAAATTAATTCTAATGATCTAAAATGAATTTTACCTGTTAACAAAATGAAATAGGGAAACTGCTCAACCAGACATGCAGTGTGTAGACCTATCCACTTTGACAGTTACTTATTATTTTGTAATTGTTAAAACCCCTTCATGTCTTTCATAAGAAATGACCACTCTCAGGAAATTGAGTTTATCAAACACATCTTGTCAAAAATGTTTTTATTGTACAAAAATAGAAGACATAATTCAAGCACCTTTATATCACTGCTGCAATTCTCATAAATATACTGTAATCCATCAGACCATTGCTGTCATTTTCACTTCATAAATAATGATAAGTAATGGATACAACATATGCCTCATACAGTTCTATGTGAAAAAAATATCAAACTGATACCTGTTAAAGCCAGTCTGATAATATCTCATTTAGAAAAGCATGTGGCATGTACACTGTACATTTATCTCACCTAGAACATTACCATTTTAAATGTCAAAAGTTAACAAGAAGAGTCCAATAAGTAAACAATAGAAAAACTTGCTGCAGTCTGATAATCAATTGTCAGACTACTTTGTTTTACTATTACTGGACTCCTACGGGTGAATTTTTAAAATCTGGAACTAGAGAATTTATGACAAATATTGAATTGATGATACATGTGAATTAAGTGTGTCTCTATGCTAACTGAGGGGCTTTTTAGCTAATTCTTTGAATTTTTCAAACACTGTGTACAAGCTTTTATTCTCTGGCGTCTGACCGAATTCTGCCTTCAGTGACTGATATCTTACGCTCTGGTCCTCCATGGATGTCTGACTTCGCTTCTCTTCAGCCACAGCCGTCACCTCCTGGAAATCAGGAACAAAATGCTACACTAGGAACTGTATACCAAAGTCTCTTCCTAGATACATATACCCGTTTCTTTTAGTTTCTTTTAGCAACATAATTATTTATACTTTCTGGAAACAAATGGATGCTCATTTCAAAATAATGATCTGTTTCTGATAAATTGCTTTGGGAATAATGGAATAATTCTGATAGATTTGCCTTTTAATAGTCTTGTTTACTTTTACTTTGGCCCATTTTTGGGAGGTTTTTTTGTACATACTTACCTGTTTCTGTGAAATTTACCTACATTTAGCCTGTTTTTGAGAGATTTACTTGTATTATGATCTGTTTCTGAGAGTTTACCTGTATTATGACATGACTTATATTATGACCTGTTTTTGAGAAGCTTACCTGTATTATGACCTGTTTTTGAAAAGCTTACCTGTATTATGGCCTGTTTTTGAGAAGCCTACCAGTATTATGGCCTGTTTTTGAAAGGTTTACTTGTATTATGATCTGTTTCTGAGAGTTTACTTGTATTATGACATGACTTATATTATGACCTGTTTCTGAGAGTTCACCTGTATCATGGCCTATTTCTGAGAGGGCCTGTTTTTTAAAGGTTTACCTGTATTTTGGCCTGTTTTTGAGAAGCTTACCCGTATTATGGCCTGTTTTTGAAAAGCTTATCTGTATTATGACCTGTGTTTGAGAAGCGTACCTGTATTATGGCTTGTTTATGAGAAGCTTACCTGTATTATTTCCTGTTTTTTAAAGGTTTACATGTATTATGACCAGGTCCTGTTTTTGAGAAGCTTACCTGTATTTTGGACTGTTTTTAAGAAGCTTACCTGTATTGTGATCTGTTTTTGAGAAACTTACCTTTATTATGACCTGTTTTTGAGAAGCTTACCTGTATTATGGCCTGTTTTTGAGAAGCTTACCTGAATTATGGCCTGTTTTTGAGAAGTTTACCTGTATTATGGCCTGTTTCTGGCTCTTTGTAGACTTTTCTGTTGCTGACAGCTCTTGATCTAAAGCATATCCATCTGTTGATATCAGTTCAAGTTTCAAAGAAGAGGCATGGGACCGGGAACTCTGTGGTGTTATTTTTACCTACATGTATTCAAAAATGAAATAAATTAAGGCTACAAAACTTCTCACTTATGTGAGGATGGACCTCAATGATAAATAGAAAGCATTATCAGTTGAGGAAATGCTTGTTTTAGTTCAACTGAGTTTAATAATGAATTCTTGATTTACCACCATGTATTTTTATATAAATATTGCATGTAGTTGAGGGCATTGAAAATTTTCACCCTAAGAGAATCATTGTCAACCTAGGTGCAGCCGAGGTTGACAATGATTTTCTTGGGGTGAAAATTTTCAATGTGATCCAGTAAAGAGAATGACTGAGAACCCAGCTCACTGTTAACACTGACACTCCAGTCAGACTTACTGTTATGTGATCCAGTAGAGAGAATGACTGAGAACCCAGTTCACTGTTAACACTGACACTCCTGTCAGACTTACCGTTATGTGATCAAGTCAGACTTACCGTTATGTGATCCAGTAAAGAGAATGATTGAGAACCCAGCTCACTGTTAACATTGACACTCCAGTCAGACTTGCTGTTATGTGATCCAGTCAGACTTATCGTTATGTGATCAAGTCAGACTTACCGTTATGTGATCCAGTAAAGAGAATGATTGAGAACCCAGCTCACTGTTAACATTGACACTCCAGTCAGACTTACTGTTATGTGATCCAGTCAGACTTATCGTTATGTGATCAAGTCAGACTTACCGTTATGTGATCCAGTAAAGAGAATGATTGAGAACCCAGCTCCCTGTTAACATTGACACTCCAGTCAGACTTACTGTTATGTGATCCAGTCAGACTTATCATTATGTGATCAAGTCAGACTTACCGTTATGTGATCCAGTAAAGAGAATGATTGAGAACCCAGCTCACTGTTAACACTGACACTCCTGTCAGACTTGGTAATACTGCCACCCGTCCACTCTGACTGACCAGAGTCTGTTACAAATATAACTTGTCCTTCTTTGTTACGCAAGTAGACAGGTCCTTTTATACCATATCTACAATATAATAGTTTTAGATAGGTAAATCATAGACTGCTTAATTATATCACAGCTGTGGATAAAGCTTACTGTAAAATATAAATCTACATTGGGTAAGATTACCTTGGAACAAAAACCATGAGACCATTGGCTCTGAGCTGAAATATAATAGCATCGGCCAAACAGCACTCATCTTCTGAATGTTTCTGTTTAAAATACAAATACTGAAACAGTTCCTGAGAATCTCTCTGGGCATTCTGTGCTGCCTGGAAGTAAAAGAGAATCCAGGTAATCTTCTCAACTAAATATACTGGTAAATTACAGGTACATTTAACCTTCATCTCTTGGAGATAAAGACTTCATAGTTGCTTGGGAGACAGAGTAAAACACATGTAGCATATATATACAGTAAAAGGTTTTGTGGTCTCAAAAATTGAATATGGGTTCATTCACTAACATAAATATGACTGTGTCCCAGTTCAGCTGTTAGTTACATGTAGAGATGAATAGTCTGGCAGACATTCTAAACACCTAATTCGTGAGGTTTCAATCTACTCTGATTACCCTGTGCTGATGATTAATGTGCTCAGAAAGCTCATCCAACTCCCGGTTGCCAGGCAACATATCTGTGTCCTCCCCTGATACGGCCGCCATTAATTGTCTGTGAACCTGTTGTTCCAATCACAAAATGATATGGACAAAATCAGACACATTTTAATATTGATATTCTAAAGCATGGTGAAATATGAGACTTATATTTAAAGCATAGTCTAAATCATTAAAGGGGTGTTCAGAATGTTTATTCCACAATGAAAATTTCCTAAAAAAATTCAAAGTAGGTTTTAACTTTAGAGTTCACTTTCCAAGTCTGGCAAAATCACTAGAATGTGCTTTCAATTTATAGAATAAATTAATAGCAGAAAATTATAGAAATGTTGTTTTTATATGAAAATATGTACATTTTAAAAAACACAAAGGGCAAATTTTCTTGACTTTTTTGAGAAAATGCATTGGTTACACACATGGCGTACACAGCATAAATCAATCCCATGTGCAAAAAAAGTACATCTATAGAATCTTTTTATTTAATTTTTTTGAGAATAAAAGGACGATGTGAAATGAACTTTTCTTTACACCCTTTATGATACATACCAGTACATCAGCATATCTTCTGATAGGTGAAGTAAAATGTGTGTAGTAATCCAAGGCCAAGCCATAGTGGAAAAACTGGTCCCGGGGCAGAGAACCAGTGGAAAAGTAGGAAGCTACAGACATGGCCTGTGTAGCCAACATTCTAAGAATCTGCAAAAAGATAGTCCAATGTAATAAAACAATAAGATCAAATTGAATATATCTTAAAAATCTCTTTAAAAAGACTTTAAAATTCATTAACAGAAAAAAATTAATGATTTTCATAAACAAAGAAATTATAGAAGGATTTATTTTGAAATAATAAACTGTATTACAGGGAAATTTTCTCCCTGATTTTATTTTCGCCCATTTTGCCCTCATTGCAAGTGGACAAATTAAGAACAGGACAAAACCAATGAAGACAGCATTATCTCTCAAGCATAACTGTGTCTGAGTTAATCTAAAATGGGTAAAACTGTTTTCATTTGTGATAGGGAGAAAATAACCCTTTATACAGAAATACAGATGATTCTCTAATGCAAAAAATTCTTAATCTTCATATACATGTACATTACATTTGTATCAAGTTTTATTCAAAAAGGGGTAAAAATTGTACAGGAAAAATATTTTTGATGAAATAATTACAAGACTGACAAACAAAAGCCTCTTCAGTCTTCACCATTGCATAAATTCTTTTGGCTCAGGACTTGAAGAGCTATAAATGAGAAGACTTTCTATGCTTTACAGGAAATTAATACCAACCCTATTGACAACCAGGTCTTTTGGATCCACACAGTTATCTAGTGTTTCAGCCAGTTCTTTGTTAGATGACGTTATCACCTCTAAACCCTTGGATTTTGCACAGTTTTTCAGATTTTCAAATTGCTCACTCTTAGGTAATGGATGGTGTCTTAACTGAAGAAAAAATATAGCACTAACATTAACATGCATTAATTATTTCAAAACATTTTGCTCCATTTATTGTGTCACCTGCAGAGCAGAGCAGCACTTAGGGATCACTTTACCCGGCATCTGTCTGTCTGTCCGTCTGTCACACCTTGTATCTCAAGAATTGTAAGATATATGGACTTGATATTTTGCACTTATATTGCTTGGCACTATGGCATTTGTGAATTGCCATGGTTACTGATCTCGTGACCCTTGATCTTGACCTTTGACCTACTTTACAAAAAGTTAAAAGTGCTAATATACAGCACATTTTTGACATAAGGGTAAATCTATGTTATTTAACATGTGCACTGATTATCATAAAACATTATGAAAAATACCAGCATTACAATTCACTTGACCTTGACCTTTGATCTACTTTACAAAAAGTTAAAAGTGCCAATATACAGCACATTTTTGACATAAGGGTAAATCTATGTTATTTAACATTTGCACTGATTATCATAAAACATTATGAAAAATACCAGCGTTACAATTCACTTGACCTTTGACCTACTTTACAAAAAGTTAAAAGTGCCAATATACAGCACATTTTTGACATAAGGGTAAATCTATGTTATTTAACATGTGCACTGATTATCATAAAACATTATGAAAAATGCCAGCGTTACAATTCACTTGACCTTTGACCTACTTTACAAAAAGTTAAAAGTGCCAATATACAGCACATTTTTGACATAAGGGTAAATCTATGTTATTTAACATGTGCACTGATTATCATAAAACATTATGAAAAATGCCAGCGTTACAATTCACTTGACCTTGACCTTTGATCTATTTTACAAAAAGTTAAAAGTGCCAATATACAGCACATTTTTGAGGGTAAATCTATGTTATTTAACATGTGCACTGATTATCATAAAACATTATGAAAAATGCCAGCGTTACAATTCACTTGACCTTTGACCTACTTTACAAAAAGTTAAAAGTGCCAATATACAGCACATTTTTGACATAAGGGTAAATCTATGTTATTTAACATGTGCACTGATTATCATAAAACATTATGAAAAATGCCAGCGTTACAATTCACTTGACCTTGACCTTTGATCTATTTTACAAAAAGTTAAAAGTGCCAATATACAGCACATTTTTGAGGGTAAATCTATGTTATTTAACATGTGCACTGATTATCATAAAACATTATGAAAAATGCCAGCGTTACAATTCACTTGACCTTTGACCTACTTTACAAAAAGTTAAAAGTGCCAATATACAGCACATTTTTGACATAAGGGTAAATCTATGTTATTTAACATGTGCACTGATTATCATAAAACATTATGAAAAATGCCAGCGTTACAATTCACTTGACCTTGACCTTTGATCTATTTTACAAAAAGTTAAAAGTGCCAATATACAGCACATTTTTGAGGGTAAATCTATGTTATTTAACATGTGCACTGATTATCATAAAACATTATGAAAAATGCCAGCGTTACAATTCACTTGACCTTTGACCTACTTTACAAAAAGTTAAAAGTGCCAATATACAGCACATTTTTGACATAAGGGTAAATCTATGTTATTTAACATGTGCACTGATTATCATAAAACATTATGAAAAATGCCAGCGTTACAATTCACTTGACCTTGACCTTTGATCTATTTTACAAAAAGTTAAAAGTGCCAATATACAGCACATTTTTGAGGGTAAATCTATGTTATTTAACATGTGCACTGATTATCATAAAACATTATGAAAAATGCCAGCGTTACAATTCACTTGACCTTTGACCTACTTTACAAAAAGTTAAAAGTGCCAATATACAGCACATTTTTGACATAAGGGTAAATCTATGTTATTTAACATGTGCACTGATTATCATAAAACATTATGAAAAATGCCAGCGTTACAATTCACTTGACCTTGACCTTTGATCTATTTTACAAAAAGTTAAAAGTGCCAATATACAGCACATTTTTGAGGGTAAATCTATGTTATTTAACATGTGCACTGATTATCACAAAACATTATGAAAAATACCAGCATTACAATTCACTTGACCTTGACCTTTGACCCACTTTGCAAAAAATACTCTGGACAGTTTAATTTAACTTGACTTTAAAATTTTGGGAGGCGGAGTGTTGATGATTAGCATTTATACATGTTTATAATACTGTACTTTGAAACTCTATGATAATCAGTTACTTCACAAACTGATATTTAAAAATTATGGAAATACATCAGGATCGGTATCCCACGAAGGATCGTGTAGAGTGACAATTGGTGTAAAGACTTTGAAACACGTATTAACACATGTAAAATGATAATTTTTTTTTTTAAAATAAAATTTCAATTTACTTATTCATTTGAGGGTTGGGAATCATATTTTCTTTGATTTGTCAGATTCTTTCACAGTCTTATACTATGTGTGGATGCTTTTTTTGTGTATGAACTATCTTGCTAGTAGTAAATAAATAGCTAACTACACTTAGATTTATTTACATTTTTAATGAAGGTACAAAGTAGGCGACACATGCATTCCTTGGAACATTCTAGTTTTTGCTCAATGTATGCACATTAAGATTAATGGTCAATTAATATAGTACATGTGTCACATCATATTTCTTCAATATCACTTAAATCAAATTATTTTGCTCAAGAACATCAAAAAACAATATAAAGATATTTTGAATTACCCCAGAATTGTATTGCTATATTTCAGAGTTTTGATAATACACTGATATTAATGACAAAATACATTCACCTGGAGGAAACTCCTTCCATTTTACAGTCATCATAAGATGATTCATAATATATTGACTTTATATGATTGATAAACTTATGATAAAAGCATACCAAGGCTTGATTTGGGAATGCTTCTACAATCTTCTTGGCCACCCAGTGGTTAGCAAAAATCATGCACTCTGCTATAGTGTCATGGACTTCCAGATGCTAAAATTACACATTTCATATTACCTGTCTGATGTGCATTTATTCTTACCAGGTAATTCTTATCTAGTATATTTAGCTGTAATCTGTGAGATTCTTTTTAATACAACCAATTGCAAATTAAAAGCAAGACATACTTCAATAGGTGTGATTACACTCATTAACTTGTATATTACAGCATAGTCATTCCATATAGAAGTGACTTAATCCATATCAGGAGATGAAACTAAAGAAGTAAAGTTCCCCAAGGATCATCTTAATACAAGGGATTTCTTTACTCTGAGGTCTGAATGGTGAGTTATTGTGAACCACATGTACACATTAACAAATGATGTCCTTTTTATCCTGTGACTGACATCTTTAGAGGTAAGGTTCTTCTCCACTGATATGTAGCTCGGTCCTCTGTATGATGTGATAAAACGTACTGAATTAAATCTTTAAGAAAGAGGTCCTACTGAACTGCATCGTTAGGACTGAGGTCCACTGTACAATCAGATGTAACTTTCTTACCTTTTTAGGAGTGATGGCATCTGCATTATGTATAGCTTACTAGTGGGACATTTTCAGAGTAATATTCTCTTTGTCATGAAGTGTAACTTACGTAACTTATATATTTACATCTTCTCTACAATGAGGTGTAACTTGCGTATTTACATCTTCTCTATGATGAGGCATAACTTACATATTTACATCTTTTCTACAATGAGGTGTAATTTAGAGACTTAGGGTACATCTTAAGGACACAGTCCTCTGTCCTGTGGTGTGTAACTGAATCTTTAGGACAGAGGTTCCTCTCTTCAACAACAAGTAACTTACTTGCATCTATAAGAGTATGTTCTTTTCTATGATGAGGTGTAACTTAATGACTTACATCTTTAGGAGTGATATCATTTTCTATGGTGAGGTGTAAGTTGGTGATTTATATTTTAGGAGACAGTGAGTTTTTTTTTTTATGATGAGGTGTGACTTACATCTTTAGGAGTGAGGTTTTTCTTTCTATGATGAGGTGTGACTTACATCTTTAGGAGTGAGGTTCTCCTCTATGATGAGGTGTAACTTAGTGACTTACATCTTTAGGAGTGAGGTTCTTTTCTATCATTAGTGTAACTTAGTGACTTAATCTATAGGAGTGAGGTTCTACTCTATGATGAGGTGTAACTTAGTGATTTACATCTTTAGGAGTGAGGTTTTTCTTTCTATGATGAGGTGTGACTTACATCTTTAGGAGTGAGGTTCTCAATGCTCTTTGTCTCAGTCAGTTCTACTTGGACCTCCACACTTGCCAGCTCTAAAGCACCTCCACAAACTCTCCTTGCTTTTAGCTGCCTTGCCACTTTCATCAATAATGTCACAGCAGACCTCAGCTCCTCAACCCTACAGATTGTAATATTGTAATATGTACATGTAATACTGTAACTCTACAAATCAGAATGCAGTAAAATGTTATATTGTAACTTTGCAGATTGATTCTGTAAGATGTAATACTGTAACCCTATAAATTGCAATGTTATATGTAATATTGTAACTCTAAATGTTGCAGAGTAATACTGTGACTCTGCAGATTAAAATTTTGTAAGATGTAGTAGTGTGACTCCACAGATTGTAATGTTTAAGATGTAATAGTGCGACTACTGATTGTAATGTTTAAGATGTAATACTGTAGCTTTATAGATTGTAAAAAAATGTTGAAAGACCCAAAACATTGGAATATTGTAACCCTATGAATCTTAATGTTACAAAATGTAACATTATAACCCTTTAGATTGTAATGTTGTAATATGTAATACTGTATATATTGGAATGGTGTAACATGTTATATTGTAAGCCAACAATTTTATTTCATAATTATTTCAGCTATAAAGTCTAATAAAACTTTGGATTTTTGTGTATATTGAAACAAAAGGGGATCAAGATTGACTGTGTGAGATTTTATAGGATTTAAATGGACTGTTTCATCAATGAGTTGTGTGTAATTGCTTGACGATAAGTATCAGTACTGCCAGAATAAGTTACCTGCTGTTGATCTCTATTTCAGACAAATTTTGGAGTTCTGGAACATTTTTAACTATCTCAGACATAGCTATTCCATCACTGATTGCTTGTGCCATCTGTAAAAGAACAAGATGCCCATGGTAACAAGGTTCACTTGAGTCACTTGGTCCTGCTATTCTTTAGAAGAAAATATTTACATTAAGTTTTTTCCCTCTTTATTTCTAAGATTTTTTTTACTCGTCTCTAGTCCCAAGGGGTCATGACTAAACCAAATGTAAATTTTTTACAGTATACATGCAAAATGCATGTTAAATATGATCCCCCGATTCTAGCCCCACACTAACCCAACCCATACCGAAATAAATTATAACTTAGTTATAACTTTTGTAACTAAAAAAAGGTACAAAAAAGTTATAACTAAGTTATCGGAGTTTGGAACCACCTGTTTTAAGTGAGGTATAATTTAGTTATAACTTAGTTACAAAAAAGTTATAACTTTTGTATAAGTTTTCATTTTTTATTTCAACATAAATACAGCAAGTGCAAAAAGTTACAAAAAAGTTATAACTACAAAAAGTTATACTTATTAAAAGTTACACAAAAAGTTATAAAAAAGTTACAAAGTTATACTTTAGTTATACCCAAATAAACGGTGGAAAAAGTTACAAAAAAGTTATACCCGGAAAAAGTTATTTAAAAAGTTATAAAAAAGTTATACTTAATAAAAAGTTATGAAAAAGTTATAACTAAAAAAAGTTATACCCATGAAAAGTTATAACTTTAAAGATTATGAAAAAGTTACAGAAAAGTTATAACTATGAAAAAGTTACAGAAAAGTTATACCTAATAAAAGTTACAATAAAATTATACACTTCATGTTAACCTGTGGTGGAATTACTCAATTATAGGCTTTAAAAAAGCTACTCATTAAAATTTTTACAAAACGATTATTAAAATTTTTACAAAAAAGATTATTTAAAAAAAATTAAAAGCACTTACAATTTTATTTTATAAACATGATTAAGAGAGCTTGGTTCATTGTCAAATACAATTGAATGAATGCACATTCATGTTTTCAAGTCTACCTTATTTTTCATCAAGCCATCATAACAGATTGAAATTTCTCAGAATGGTTGTTTTCTTAAAATACATTTTTTAGCATATAGTCATAAGAGTTTTTGTAAAATTACCTAGTAAACTGCATTCTATTCTTGTGAACTTTTATAAATAGGCATCACTGCCTAGATTTTAACTCTCTAGTTTTTCATGTTAGCGCCATGATCTAGCTGTACTTCAAAAAAAAAAAAGAAGGTTCTAAGCAGTGATTTCGGTCACAGTTCTCAGCTGCATACCACCCAAGTCCTTGCACAGGTATCCTTGTGGATGTACCGTTGTGATTTTTATCTGGATTATTTAAAGACGGGCTGCACCAGTAGTTGGCCAAGCTGGTCGAGGGACTTGGCTGTCCGGCCAGCGGTCTGCGCCCCTTGACAGGTTGTACTGGTAGTAGGCTGAAGTGGTCATGGGACTTGGCCGGCCAGCAGTATGTCCCCCTCGACAGGCTGCACTGGTATTTGGCAGAGCTGGTCGAGGGACTTGGCCGGCCGGCAGACGGTCTGCGCCCCTCAATGACCTGCACTGGTAGTCGTCCGAGTCTTCATTTGAAATATGCTTGCAATTTCAACCTTCTCTTCATTTTTCTTCAATTCTGCAAAAATTAAAAAGGTTCAAACTTTAAATATTTTAATTTTTTCTTTTAAAAAAAAGTTGAAGTGTTCCTGCACTCAAAGCATATCAGATTGGAACCACTCTTTAATATCAATTCATTCAAATTCAAGGCATATGCATCTATAACTTGGAAAACAAGAATTAGAGTTCTGTTGTGTAATTGAGAAAATTCAACCTCAAGGCTCATCACATAAACATGCATTAAAAAAATTTTAAACATAAAGAACAATATAGAACCTGACAGCTTTATAGGAATTAGCTTTAGATTTATCGAATTTGAAATAAAAATAAGATTTGATTATTTACTTACCTAAAACAGGTGATATTTTTGAAGGATTTCACTCCAGCTTGGCACAGACATGAGATGCTCATGGAAAGAAATAATGTACCAGTATACTGCTGAAATTAAATAAAAATTAGAAATTTTATTTTACTCATTTCAGTACACTATATCATGTTATGATCATGTGGTGTTTAAAGGCTACAATATGTACAATATTAAAACAGTTCAGAGAATCTGTTAAACAATTACACAATATAGGTCATTTAATAATTAAACTGATCTATAGGAATATTTAAAGAATTAAATATGACAAAGAATAACATTTTTTGTTCCTATACTAAATGCTGAAAAAATATTATGTTTCAATTTCTTCACTTCAGTCTTTGTCATTGACATACCAATCAAAACAAACAAGAAATCTGAGATTCACATGCCTAGAATTTTGTTCATTCTACATATTTCTTCTTTTTTGAATGCTCATCTAGAGGTAATAAACATTTCCTACCAAAAACATCAAAATATTAACATAAATATTGCCTTACCGAATGATTTTGTCATCGTTTTTCTATCAACACTTTCAACACACCAACATTCAAATCGTCCATGAAAAAATCCGCGCTCTGTTGTTGACCAATCAGAGACTTAGAATAAGTCACGTGATTGAAAATAAATAAATAAATAATTCATAATTAATTTATTTTAAATCCAAATAAACATAATTGTGTATTTTGAAACTTATCTTAAATATTAAAAAGCCAGTTGGTGTTAAAATTTTGAAACAGAGTTCCAACAAAACGGACAAAACGGACGTTGGGGCCGCCATATTTGTGTCGTTGCCGCCATTTTGAATTTAATATTTTATTTATTTATGAAAATAACTAGTAAAACTGGGTTATTTAATCAGGCAAATAATAAAATCCACATGTCCTAGTCTTCTGCTAAAATCTTAATATAACTGGCAGTCTTTATTCCCAACATTGTAATATCTGTTAATAAATGAACATACACACACTGTATGTTGTTGTTTATCTCATATATGGCAAGAATTTAGTGCTGACTTTCACCTATGTTCAATTGTAACCAGTAACACAGGTTACATAGCCTTTTCACTGAAGGAGCATTTATTCAGTTTTTCATTGGTTACACTGGTTACAAAGGTTACAGGGTTACACTGGTTACAGTGGTTACATTTACATGTACAAAGTGATTAGTTCTTAATATCTTCATTTGTAACCAGTAACACAGCTTCTGCTGAACAGGTCAGCATTTTTCATTTATTCAGTTATTAATTGGTTACACTGGTTACAATGGTTACAGTGGTTACATCTGTATCTACAAGTTCCCACTTGGATTTTATATGATTTGTCACCAAAAGAATATAGTTGTAACCAGTGTAACCTAAAAATAAAGACCCCTTTCAGTTTCAGACGATCTGTAACCATTGTAACCGATTGTCACCAAAGGAATATAGTTGTAACCAGTGTAACCTAAAAATTTTAAGACCCCTTTTGGATTTAAATGACCACCATCTTTAATTGAGAGATATATGTAACCTATGTTACTGGATTAAATAGTCTTGTAACAGGGTTACAATTGAACATAGGTGAAAGTCAGCACTAATTTCTTGCCATATCTAGTTTATCTTTCTAGCCACCCTTATTACGATTGATTTACTTTAGATTTCAAACAACCCTTGTAAAATTGTACCATTGCGTAATACACAAGCTGAAATTTACGAAGTGTAGGCCAAAAAGGTCACCTAGTACAAACACCTGTGTCACGAGAAAACAATGGGGAAATTAACACTGTTTTGCACACGAAGAAAAATCTGTGCAAAATATTAAATGATTTCATGAGATTATAACATTTGACCACTGTTTATATCTCTTGAACATTTATATTTCTCCAGAATTAGGGAAATTATTCCACCTTAAGATGTACATGCATATAATTTACAAAACATGAAATCTATATAATACGTATTTTCTGAGAGAGAGAGAAAGAGAGAGAGAGAGATTATTCCCAACTTTAGATGAAACTAGTACTTACAAGACAAATATTAATTAAACAACAATATTTATTAATGAGAGAGAGAGAGATTTAGAGAGAGATTTATTCCCAACTTCAGATGTAATTTACTACAAGTCTCAACTTCACATCTCTTCTGTTGAACTTAACAGTGGATGTGGCTGTGGACTGTAATGGATGAGAAAAACATTGGTAGTAAAGATGTCTAAGAAGCCCCCCTTTTTCTTTTAAAAAAAAAAATCTCAACTCACAACAAAACAGAAAAATAAATGTCTGCGTAAGTAATAGCAGTATATAATGCAATTCATTATATGAATAATTTTTAGATAAAGAAAATTCTGCATATAAACAGTGGTACCTTTATGTAGCCCTTAATCATTCCCACCTTTTTATTCATATCTTCTGTAGATATTACAGATATGTAAAACTGTATTACTATACTAATATAATTATGCTTATTTATTATTTTATATGATTAAATTTCAACAGTTATATAAAAAAAAATTTAATTTAGGTGTATGGTAAAAAAAAAACAAAAAAAAAAAAACACCAAAATATTCAGTTTAACTAAGTAGCCATTCTGCAAAATGACTAAGTCCAAATTAGGTACAAAAAAGTTACACAGAAAAATGACAAAGTCCTGAAAAGTTATGTTTTAGTTACATCTGAAAATGGCTAAGTCCAAAAAGGTACAAAAAAGTTATACAGTAAAATGACAAAGTCCAGAAAAGTTATCTTTTAGTTACACCAGAAAATGGCTAAGTTCAAAAAGGTACAAAAAAGTTATACAGTAAAATGACAAAGTCCAGAAAAGTTATATTTTAGTTGCATCTAAAAATGGCTAAGTCCATTTTAGGTACAGAAAAGTTATAACTAAAATGTAACTTTTTCTTGAGGTACAAAAAAGTTACAGAAAAGTTATAACTTATTTCGGTATGGGAAGGCTTCATTATTTGCAAAAAATGACTAAACTTGGCCCTGATGTTCTTGAAAAAAATATTTCAAGGAACTTTTACCCCTATATATTCCTATTTAAAACTTCCATCCCCTATTGCAACCCCATCCTATCCCCAAGGGCCATGATTTGAATGAATTTGATCTACGCTATGTCTTCAAGCTTTTATATCATCTTTATCAACTTGTTTTATCAAGTATCATCTTTTCTGGCCAAGTGGTCCTTACTAGAATTTTTAAAATGACCGTATCCTTTTTTTTGCCTTTTTTGATTATCTCCCCTTGAAAAAGGGCAAAGCCCTTCATTGAAAAAAAAAATTTGGAATTCCCTTTATCCATGTTTGCTATGTGCCAACTTCATTTGCAATTGGCCCAGCTGTTCTAAGCAAAAGCCAAAAAGAGCAAAGTTAATAGACAGACAGTTGGACAGATGCCACTGCAGATGATCAGAAAGGATTGCTAATCAGAAAAGCTCAGATGAGCTAATAAAAAATACATTAGATAAATTCAGTTACCAATAAAAGTTAGAATATAGCATAATGTCATTCTAAAATTGCATTAGTAAATCCATCTTACCTCATAAAACAGTTTATAACTGGAACGGATAATAGTTTTTCCATACCAAACATTGACCACTTCAAAGTTCTTATCCAACTCCCACATTACACTCATAGCATACCTGTTATGATAAAATTAAGTCATTGAAGCAAACAAATTAACATCTATTGATGTACACTCTACCATCAACTCCAATCCTTACCTATCAACATCACTGATTAGTGAACACAAGTTGGCACTCAGTATTCCAGGTAACATGTCATAGCGACGGTCAGCCAGGTAAACAGTGGTGGACCGACTCATGGCCTCTGTGTCTGTGAGTGAACCAGGTCTCACAAAATGTGTTACATCAGCAATATGAACTCCCAGCTCTAGGTTACCATTGTCCAGATTTCTAATTCAGAAGTATGTATATGGTAAAATTTTAAAATTTTATTCTTTCTCTTTTGGTAACTGTCAAGTTTAAGTGAACCAGCTTAAAATACACATGTAATAAATAAATACTCATTCTAAATCATACCTTACAGAGAGTGTGTCATCCACATCTTCACAGCCTTTTGGGTCAATTGAGAAAATTAAATGAGATGAACGTAAATCCCGACGTTTACTTAATTCTGCCTCCTCTATAGTCCAGGGGTTCTCAGGGGTGTCCACAGGGAGCTCTTTTTTCTGTCAATCAAATAAAGGCAGAAAATCGTACATAGGCACAACGTACATGTACATTATGAGGTCCTCTGTACTATGAGGTGTAATAATAAAAATCCTTTGAACTAAAATTTACATAGAATTACCTGAGCTTCTGAAAATTCTGAAGCATGTATTGTATTCTCCAGGAGAATGGCTGATATCTCTGCCTCCAAATCTCCAATGGGTCCAAGAGTTTTCACAAAATGTCCATTAGGATATTGAGAGTCAATATCCCAGGAGTCAATTCGGACAACAATTCTCTGGTCCTTTAGTTTCTCCACTTGCTTTGTGCTAATGCGGATCTTTGGAATGCGGTAGTCCCATGGAATGACTAACACTTTCCCTCCTTTTTCACTTACTTTCTAAACAACAGATATTGATTAAAAAGTCAAAATTACAATTTATAAAGCATCATTTAATTAAGCATCATAATTTAAAAATTCAGAAATGAAAGTTACATATTGAAACTTTCGAATGGCACTCTCTGAATCTTTTTATTACAAACCCATTCAAATAAATTCATAAATGTTTGCTATGGCTTTTCCCCTTATATAATTGGTACTCATACAAGGTATCATTCCCTATGCAAAATTTTCAATTTAAAATCTGAAAATTTCCAAGTAACCTGTCAGAAAACTGGTAAAGTGAATTATATGTACATGTATATCATAAAAATTTCAATCTTGAAATACATGTACGTGAGTTTTGCATATAGATTTAGCTACATATTGATGAATGAACAAACCCACTCAGTAAACAAAAAGAGCCATTTAGCTGCATTGAAAATTTCCAGTTTCTTTTATTTTGTCATTTTTTTTCCCAATTCAAGAGGTATTAGTACTCTGATTTACAATCCCTATTCACTCTCATATAATCAGAGTGCTGTATCTAATTTTATTGAAGTATTCTATATACCTCATCAGGAGAAAATGAAGCCACATACTCCCTCCAGTTTCTCTGCTGGATTCCCACCACCCGACCTGTCGGCATGACATTACCGTCAGAGACACCGTCATCTTCACCCTCTTCCACTGTAATCAAAGAAGCTTAATAATTATAAATTTAAAGCATTTTCAAAATTGAAGCAAACATGGTTTAGTCCAATGGCTTTTAAAATAATTACAGGTGCATTCAGATTATACACTTGATTGGTAGTTAATGGCCTAAAAGTATGTCATGATCTTGACTGAAGGTCATATCCCAATAGACAAGGTCAATAAAAATGGGATGTTGAATTCAGCTTACAAATCCAGCTAGTAGCTCTGTAACTGAAAATCACTTAGGTGTATGTTTACAATGATTCAATGTTGTATCACTAAAGTCTTACAGAGATGGCCAAGGGGAATATTTTTGAGAAAGAGGGAGATATCAGTTTTTGTTAAAAGGTAATACATGTATCAAATTTTCAAGACAAATCACACAATGAATGAAATCATGTTATATAGTACTCCTATGTGATAAAATCTCAGAAAATTAAGTCCTTTTAAAAGATATGCAATAACATTTTACAATGGCTTAATATTCTGAGATCAACTAAATATTTAAGTAACGACCTTCTTGACTTTCCTTGATGACATTTGACCTTCCTCTCCACTCTGACCTTGGTAACAACTCCACGACAACAAGGTCACCATGGATAGCTCTGTTTCTGCAGGACATTCCATGTATCAAAATATCCCTATCATCAGATACATCATCCATGTCAGTCTCTAAGGACCTGAGAATAGAAATTATAGTGGTATGATACAGACATCCTGTGCCAAGATAATATCGACACATAGTTACATGTATGACAATATCTTTTATAGTGAAAACTTATCAGAATATCATTCTAGCCCTAACATAAAGCAGATACAAGTACATCTACTGCAACAACACCACAGCACAAGTTCTATTTTTAGTACCCATACCTCTTCTGTTTAACAAAGGCCTCCTGTCCTGCATTGTTTTTGTTTACATTGATGTGACCCAGCACAAATCTTCCTGACTTTACACCAGCTTCTAAAATGTCCACTGGTAAATAACCCTTGTAGTCCTTCTCTAAAATATACAGCATTTAATGTGACAATGATGACACAGCACGTTATTAATATGTAACATCCAAACTTTTCATATCCACAAATATTGGTATATTAACAAAAATCTGCTCACATTTACTACAAACTACGAACACTTTATGAAATTAATCATTTTTCTCCTGGTGACTAACCTTTGACCTTTGTTTCTAATGATGCTGTTAATGACTCATACAGCTCCATAACTTCTGGTATGTGAGCCTGCCAGAATTTCCTCAGATAATCCTCTAGAGACAAGACAAACACATTAAGTGTCTTGCTTCCGTATGTCTCAATGGCCTATATAAAATTATATGAAAATATTAATTATCAAAGTAACTGAAAGGTTTACTTTTATTCTTTAAGATACGTATCTTTTAAAGATACCTTGAACTTCAAGTTTCAGAATTAATGCCAATGACAAGCAAGCACTTCTCCTTCTAACTGAGAAAGTTATGCCCTCTAAATAGTAATATTGCTTGACAAATCTGACATCTTTATACTCCGTGCATACCGTTCCACTCAAGAATAATTGTTCTCATGATTTGACGTTAAAGAGCCATTTCACAATAATAAGTACTTGCGAAAAATAAGGAATCTACAGTATGGATAAGCAAGACAAATCTCACAAAATGTGTTTTTTAAGTTAGTGTGCATCCCAAGATCAATATCCAATGCAAGTTTTGTTTAAGTAGAACTTATAGTAACTTGGAAATGGACCTGTTCTAAAAACTTTGACCTGTTCACTAATCAATGTTGGTCAGTTCTAACATCCAAAGCAAGTCTTATAAAGTGTCCATCCTTAGATGCATCATCCACACAAGTTTATTAATAACAAGCAATATAATTATAAAACAACTCCAAAAACATTACCCTGGTCACTCATCTGGTCAGATTCAGCATCCAAAGCTAATCTATAAATTCACCCATTTGGAAAATATGGGTCAGATCCAGCATCCGAAGCAGGTTGTGTAGTGTTCATTCTTAGATGCATCATCCATACAAGTTTGGTCCAGGTAGAGCTTATAGTTACTTGGGAATGGAACTGCTCCAAAAACAATAACCCGGTTACTCATCTGGAAAATGTAGGTCAGATCCAGCAACCGAAGCAAGTCTTGAAGTGTCCATTCCTAGATGCATCTTCCATGCAAGTTTGGTCCAGGTAGAGCTTATAGTTACTCGGGAATGGACCTGCTCCAAAAACTTTAATCTAGTCACTCATCTGGAAAATGTACGTCAGATCCAGCATCCGAAACAATTCTGGTAGTATTCATCTCGAGATGAATCATCATGCAAGTTTGGTCCAATTAGGGCTTATAGTTACTTGGGAACGGACCTGCTCCAAAAACTTTAACCTGGTCACTCATCTGGAAAATATAGGTCAGATCCAGCATAGAAGCAAGTCTGGTAGTGTGCATCCCTAGATGCAACATTCATGCAAGTTTGGTCCAGGTAGGGCTTATAGATACTTAGGAATGGACTTGCTCCTAAAACTTAACCAATGCTACTGACACCAACAGTATAGCATATGCTTATCTCAACTTTGTCGAGGTATTTTCAGAAAAACAGCTACACAGCTAGGTTAAGGACGCCCATGAAATATACGCCTTAATATATTCAGCGAAAATGAATACAACTTTAATATTTTTTTTAACAGCGTTAGTTTTGATAAATGTGATATGTGGTGTTTGCACTTGTATATATCGGGTCTCTGCTGAGTTCGGCCAAAACGACATCGCTTGCATCAGCTGTTTGTCACGTGACAGTTTTAAAATTAGAACATATATGTACTACTTACAAAGATCGTAAAAGTTCAACGATATACGGGCATTTTTTAACTATAAAATTTATTCTGTTTTCTTTGAGACAAATTCCTTAACACGAAAAGTGCTGGGAGCAACTTTCTCATGCTCGGGAATTGTTTAAAATTTAGCCGTCTTTCTAAAAACTCCAGTCAAAAATGTAATTCGCATTGGAATAATGTTACATTACGGAATAAAACAACAATGCACAACCAGCTCCCAGCACTTTTCAGAATAGTAGGAATAATAGCTACACGTGTTTAAAAATTCAGAATTTATAGTGAAGCGGATATCGTTGAACTTCTGATATTTTCGAGGGGCTGGACCTGTCATTCTAGCATGTTACTGTACAAATGTGCTCCCTACGAGCTTAATATAAAGTCTACATATTATCAATTTAGTTTGACAATAAAATCTGGATTAATATACTTCAGAATATTTCTCTATTTTGGTCCGACTACGCGTGTTTCGTATTTATTTTTATTTTTATAAGCTACGATAAAAGCTTGATCCACGCCTCAAGTACAGAGAAACTGCGTGTCAAACTAAGAAATGACGTCATCTCAGTAAGTACAGCGAGATCAAGCTGGATTTCATTCTACATACGCTAAGTGCTATTATGGCAAGATAAGTTGCACATCCATTTATCTTTATAATATTTATGATAAACGAAAATATTTCGTGTGTTTTAAAAAGAACATAATTATAGTATTTATTCATCGAGATTCATTTGTATTGTTTTAACGTGACGTCATAATAGCTTTACCGAACCTCTGCATAGGCTGACATATATATGGGAGTCCTTAACCTAGCTGCGTAGACAGAAGGAAGATGGAAATCTTACTATCACATGAGCTCTTCTGGTCTCTGACCAGTTGAGCTAAAAAATTATCTTTGTTTTATGTTGTACAAAACAAATTTTCTATATGTGTGTAAAATTTTGTTTATTTCAGACAATTAATCAAAAAAAAACCCAACTGAATTTGATAATGAATGTTGGGAGAAAACATTATTCAAACAATTGAAAATTATGTGAAAATGAATTCATTTTGAGGGTACAGACTTATGCATAATTTTCTGTGTCATTTGCTATGTGAAAAAGTTGAGAGAACTCAGGTATATAACATAAAGCTACCTGTTTGTCATTAGTCACCATGATGATGGGCTTCTGTCCAGCAAGGTGATGAAAAAACCACTCAGCAGCCGTGTAAGTACTCCTGTTAAAAGAAATCCCAATCAACTGAGAGATACTGGAAAGTCCCTACTGTACACTTCTTCTTAATTCTGGTTGTCATATTAACAAGTGATTAGTTGACTTTTACAAAATTCTTGTTATGCTAACAATTAAACTGTTGATACAAAAAATCAAACTGATGATACAATTAAAACAAACAAATAAACTGATGATACAACTATCCAAACAAGTCAAACCTTGTCTGCCAATCAGTAAGTGATTCAGCCTGTTCCCTCTCACAATAAGCATACTTCTGAAATTCATTATGGAATATAATGGAAGCCTTACGCTTGTCTTTGACTATATTTTTAAGTCTGTTGTTTAAGCGCCTACTTCCTTCATGTTGAACCTGCCAATGAAATTTATCGGTGTTTCCATTAACTTTTGATCATTATGACCCTTTGAAATAATTTTGGGAGTCAAAAAGAATTATACTAGCTATGCTTCCTTACATCAAAATTTGAGAATCACAAAAAAAAATGAAAGTAAAAAATGTTATTGTGTTTGTTGTTCTTTTATTTACACATTTTACATTTTCCATCATTTGGGTTTGTCATCGGACATGTGTTACTCAAGAAGCGACCTTTGAAAGTTGTTTGAACAACTTCGTTCAAAAATTTTAATAGATTGTCAACTTTGATATGTTGATCTTTGTCCTTAATTCCAATATCTGCCACTTGGAAATAAATGAATGAAAGCAATGATTTATTCCTAGAAACTTTGAATGTAGGTTTATAATTTGGTTCCATCAGGGCAATATCACTGAACCCAATTTTAAAAATTTGTTTTCATAATTTTTTCTGCATCATGATCACATTTGGGTGGTGTTTTAGAAAGTAAAATGTACCTTTTATATGTAAATCATGCAGAAATTTGCATTAATGGAAACAGTGATTTATACTACAAATATAGAAGACAACATTACGGCTAGCCTCTCCACACTTCACTACTGTCACTACTGGAATGAAAAATTGCATTAACAATATCTGCAGTGATAAATAAACTTTTCTTGTCAGTTGTGGGATATATCACCAGTAACTTACTGAATGAACCACAGTTTGTATGAATATAATTCCTGTAACCACGGGATTCTCCAGGATTTCCAGGAATTCTCGAGCTACCTGACAGTCCGGGACAAGGTAATGGCTTGTATCTGCAGGGAGCAAACCTAGTCCACTATCACCTGTGAAAAAGAACAGGTTTTAATATTGTTTCATGCAGAATGAATGTAATGAATGAATGTAACAAAAATAAGAGAAATTCATAATTCTTGATTTTTATTACTACTATTCTAATGTTAAGCATGCTGTATCATATATGGTTTATAAGTGCATATGTAAACCTAGGAAAATAATGAGGAAATGTAAGAAATTGGAAGAATGTGAGTTATCTTATCTTATATGCATGCTGATTTTATTTCACAATTTAAATTTAGATGTTTGACAAAGTTTTCTGAAATATTTGACAAAAGCCAGTAATTAATGCCCTTTGTTATGATCTGAAATAAAGACATGGTTAATTCCTTGTCCTGTATATATTATAGACGATAATATCTTTCTGGTGAATGCACTTCATTTTGTTACCTGCGACAATCTGACAGTCACCGAGACATAGTTGGCTCAGGCATGGTACATCTTCTCTCCTGTAAACCTCCCTAACCACACTGATATTCCGACCATGAGCACTCTTGATTCTCAGTAACTTATTGCTCTTTTCCAATTTACTGTCATGAACCATGGTCTCGCCTCACTTGTCTAACCATTTAACTTGAAAATTTTCAGCTACACAGAGCATCAAAACATTACAATGTCAGTCTTGTGATGTTTCTCTACACTAATTCCATCAAAATACAACATCAGAATATTGGATTGAATAAAACTTTCTTTAATTTGAGCTGTCATCCATGTAAAAAGGTAAAATAGGTGATACAAACAGTCAAAAACCTCGCTCGCAAACAAGCAGGTATCTCAAAACTGGAAGTATATCCTCATAACTAAAATCAGATCTCAATCATAATTCCGGAATAAGTACAAAACCAATAACTAACATGAAAAAGGCAAAGAGGGCGCAGATTAGTGATATTTCTTATTAATATAACTATATTAAAGATTTTTTTGGCAAAAAAAGTTGGACTCTGAACCTCCCCCATAGGATTTTCGAGTTTTTCAGTTTGTGTATTTGACTCCCCCCCCCCCTTTTTTTTTCAAAAACGATGCTACATGGATCACACACACACACACACACACACACACCTGCTCAATAAAACTAACAAACCGATTCACACGCAAAAAACATCAAAACACACAAAAACTGGGAAAATTATTACAATAAAATAAGAGGAAGAAAGGAAGAAGACGATATGATAACAGTTGTCATATTTTTAAAATATGAAAAAAAGATTTGTTTAAAAATCATATTTTTCTTTTTATCAGTGCATTGCACACGTTTAATTGATTCCTGTAAATCGCATCAAATCCATCTTCTGGTTGCCCAAGTCGTTGGTAAATAGGTTTTCTATATAAATTGATAGTTACTTACAGGTAAAGAATAAAAAAGTAATGTATAATGTATCAAATTGTCTATTCTTTTAACAGAACTTGAAAAAGGCCATTCTTTTATTTTAGAAAAAAAAACACATCATGATTTAATTGATCAGTGACTTTAGGCTGCATTTGAGAGAGAGAGAGAGGGAGCACTAGCTACATTATATGTGTTTTATAATCGGATGTGAAAACTTTGCTGCTAAATGTGGCATGTTCGATAGTGTGTCGAACCCGTTATAGAGAAAATGTATGTAGGACTTTGATCCAATTTAAGTGCCCAAAAAACTTGAATGTGAAAGAGAATTTCAAGTGGCATATACTTCTGTTTGACATATTTTCTGTAAAAAAGGTTATGCTATGTATATAAAAGTAGTTCTATGCATCTATAGTACAGTACTGTTCATGACACAACGGATCGAATAACCCATGGCTGGTTTCCTGTCCTATTATGCGTTTTTGGCGCTTTATTTATCTCATTCATGTAAGTTTTTGGTTATTTAATGTTACATTTTTACAGATGTAACATCTTATTCATACATGAAAAAAAAATATCACTCATGAAATAATAATTTCGAGATAAACTTAATCAATTTTCACCACCTCAATTGTTAGATAAAGAGATGGGGAGTAATAGTTTTTCTATGGGCCACTGTCATCCCACAAAATTTTATTAAAACATGAAATTGGTCATAACACAAAATTTTATATTTTGACACTAAACATTTGTGGGAAGACACCTCTTACAAAGAAAAAAGAAAAAGAGCGCTATTATTCGATAAAATATATACATGTATTAAAACCCTTAACCTCTGTATTCTTTTTTCGGCAAAATACCCACGGGATAGAGCGTACAGTATAACAAGCTTAGACCGGCCCAAGACGTTAAAAAAATAACCTCACAGAACTTTGTTCGCTGATATAGACCAGTCACCCTCAATATTCTTGAGTCTGCCGACCTACCTTAGAGGATGCATATCTCTTTTCAAAAATCTTATTATTATTTATTAATTTTTTGTCTTTAATTGGTTGATATGGTCGATACTTAAAAGCGTTGTTAAGCTTTATAACCAGGCACTTAGCATCGTTTTTCAAGGGAGAGGAGGGGAGGGGGAAAAAGATCGACAAGCAAAGAAAACTTATGTCGTAAATCGTGGAGGTATCGGAAAGAGGGGGTTTCCATAATCCACTCTCATTTCCTCATGTTTTTTTTTTTTTTTTCCACAATAACGCGAGAGGGTTTGACCATATTGCAACTAACAATATGTTGAAGTTTGGAGAAGGGGGGGGGGTAACAGGCCGGGGAGGGCTAAGAATGAAAATTTCAATGAAAGTTAAAATCAGAAAAGGGGGGGTTGCATGCCCCTCATCTCGTACTACGGGGACCTAGGAACATCATAATTTTTTCAGTCTATTTCCCTTATTTTGTTTTTCATTCATTTCCATTTCTTTATTTAAATGTAAGAAAAATATTTATAATTATATCATTTTAATTTTATGCTTAAAGTTACAATTTTAAAAATATAACAAAGCATGGATGTTTAGTATTTTAACATTTTTGTCCAACTTGAAATCTATAAAGAATAGTGATGAGCATTTTAATCATAAATAAACTAATACTTGTAAGTGAGCAATGTGGAGAAGATATTCATATACTTCTCACAAAGACCGGCACTTTTTTTCTTAAACTGTTAAACCCATATAGTATAATAATATCATTATACATATACTATTCGAACAAAATATTACAGGAACAAGTGCCTGTGATTTCTCAGATGTAACATGTTCAAAACAATTTTATTTTAAAAACCTAAACTAGGCAGTTTTCTTAGTCCACAACCAAACATTTCCTCTTTTTCCGGAATCGTTTGTATGTAGACGGAAAACACTTTGTAACTAGCGTCTAAAGTTAGGATCCGGTGAGAAATTCAAAGCAGAAGATAACGAATTACGGTGTAAAAAGGGCTTTTCTACACTCATCCCAGAGTTATACAAGGTGATTTGCACATTTTCTTTAGATTTGTTTGATTTAGGGTCAAGTTTAGCTACGGTCTCATAAGAGTCTTTCTCAGGGTTCCCCAGGGCTCAAGATATCTTTAACAAACCAAGTGTACCAAGAGATTCTGGTCTTCTTAGTTAGAATAATCTAACTGCGTCTCGGGACAAGCCCTCACCACGGTTAGAATACGTCCCATATACTTGCAATGTAGCAAATCTGAGTGGATCCACTCCGAAATGATTTTGAAGAATACAAAATGAGTTGCACTGAAAATAACTACCAAACTAATCATAACAAACCTTTTTGAGATTATAGATGCCTTTTAACCTAAAAAATAATCCATATAAATACGAAAATTCAACTCATTTTCTCAACGTTTTTTCCTCGCTTCAAATTTAATACCATGTTGACATTCGGAACTCTCTGGATTGTTCATAGAAAATGCACAGAGTTCGAGTTATCGCCCGTGCTTATTTTGCAACATTGCCAATACACGGAACGAATTCTATCATTAAACCGGGTCCATAGGACAATATCATTTTAACGATACAACATTCTATCTATGGTCTTCTCAGATTATATTATCAGATATCTGTGGAGGCCCAAAATTCGTTATGGTCCTAGAGTCATGCGCCTCTTGTTTTTCTTGGGTAGGCTCTCTCACAGATTTTTTGCACAGCTACACCATACACTATGAGAAAAAAATATATTTTGATTGCTTTCAGCATTTCGTCATATTTTAGAACTTGCTACTTCAGGAGATTTAAGAAATGAATCTTAAATTTTTTTTCTTTGATCAAGGTATCAAAGAAAACTTGGATGGAAAGCTTTATCATTGAGCATAATGTATTGATGAAAAAGCTTTCTGTCCAAGTTTTCTTTGATAACTCGATCAAAGAAATAAATCCGTAAGTATTTTTCCCCATTTTTTTTTTTTTGGTTGGTTGGACATATTTTATTGTAATTTAGAATTATACAAAGCAGCGACCTATATACTAACGGGGTAGGTAACTCTCGCAATATCTTGTAAGTTGCAGGATTTCGTAAGTCAAATTAAATTAAATATTTCTCTAATGCTTTCAAATATTTATGATCCAAACCTTTATTTATCAAAAAATTATTCAAGATTTCTTATTGACGCTGTTTATACTAGCTAGCTCCTTTTGTTAATAATAATTACATTTATTTTAAAATCAGTACATGCCCCTGATCGGCCGTATTTCCAAGAATTCGCCAATTTTGGTGTTTGTTCAATTTATATTTAAATTACATGTATATATTATAATGTATGCTTTGAAATTTATTAAAAAAACATTCCAATACACTCACAAAAAAACAAAACAAAATACATTAATCAGAAAACAGGCTTTTTACTGGGAATAAACATAGTTTGAAAAATTTGTAGTGTTCTGTGTGACATTTTGGGTAAATAATGTGCTGAAGGAGTTGCCTATCCCATTAGTATATAGGTCCCTGTACAAAGGGGTTGGGCTGCATAAAATTTCCCTAATATTTTTTAAACAATATGTAGACCTATATCAACTTGAATTATCTCAGTTCAAATATGAGAGAATCAACTTAATGGTCCCCAAAACTTGTAATCAATGTATTATAGATAGCAGGATATATTTACGAAAAATAATAGTTCAGTTATTAATCTTCTTTACGTCAAGAGGGAGTACCGTATACATAGTATAGTGTGCTGGTGCATGTTGTCAACATAACTAAAATGATCTTTTATGGTTATTATAATAATTTAACGTAAACATGCAGTATCTAAGACTGAATAAATTACTGTTTAGGTGCTATGAAGATGAGCATTGCTGAATGCATTTAGAGATCGAAGCAGCAAACCTCACTGGGGGTGATAAAGCCAAAGAAGAGAAATTGTTACAGTCTTCACATTTTAAACTCACTAGCCAGTCAATGCCTGAGACTATCA